AAAAATTATGCAATCTAGAGCTTTATTGGTCAAACTGTGATTTTTCGGTTGCTGTGGTTAATTTTTATTATTTTTGTTCATTTAAACTTTGGAACCGTAACTGTAAATGGCATTTCTAAGACCAAGGTTAAAAATAATGATACGATTGCCCAAAGTTTTCTAGAACTAAGACTATTTGTTGAAGTATATGATTTTAAATTTTCCAAAATTGGTCGACTTTGGGAGGTCTTGCATTAAGAAAATGTACTAAGGTTTGTTGGAAAATTATATTAAAAGTTCGCGTATTTAATCAAGATTGTTAAGTAGTAAAATGCTTGAAAATTTCATAGTAAAAAAAAATCGAGTAAAAAAATTGAATCCTAAAATTAACATGATTTTATGCATTTTGGTCACAATAATTTTCAAGAGTCAGACACCAATGTACATGTTATTTTTGGATTTGTATTTCGTATTTTTATTATATTTATATTATCAAGTATTTTGGCATCTACAATTTTTATTAAATGCGCGAATTTTAATGGAACTTGCCAACATACTTTAGAATACTTTTTTTAAAGCAGGGCCTCTCAAATTTTCTCAATTCTCAATTTTTTTAATTTAAATTTATAGTTTTACAAAAGGTCTTCATTCTAGTAAAGTTGGGACAATGACAATGGTATGATTATATCTGACTGCTTCAAAATTTGATTTAACAAAAATAATAAAAATTCACCGCAATAACCGAAAAATGATACCAGTTTGACCACAGCATTCAGGATTGCATAATTTTCAAATTACATGACACCTTTTTTATCAAAGCTACGATCAATCCTTTTATGCCTTGACGTTGAACTCTGGGACACCCTGTATAAAGCTGATTTTTTATCCTATTTTTTTACTAAAATGGTATCATAATTGTTAGTTTCATGCTGAAAAAACGAGTAAAAATCGCAAATCTAAAAATAAAACCGTATTTTCTAATACAATCAGTAAAGATTGAAATAATTAAAAACAATTTTACTATTTTACAGTTTAGTATTGATGTGGTTAGGTAGGCTTAAGCTTACTGAATTTATCATCGCTTAAGCGGATAATTTGAAGTTATAGTTATACTTTTTGCAAACTAAAGACAATATTTTTGGCCTTAGAAAATCTCGCAAAATTTAAATTTATCAGAGCAGCTGTAGAAAAATAAATAAAATCTGAATAGCTTTGGCTTCTCTGAATTATCGTTTCAACCATGTGAACAGTAGTGATTTTTGTTTAAATTAGGAAGACCAGTATCGAAAACGTTTATAATCTTCGATTGCTGAATTAGAAATTATATTTTCCATCAAACAATTTTTAATTACTTGGTTTCAAATATAATTAAAATATTTAAATCAGATCAATTAAAAACAGGCAAGTTATCTCACGAAAATTGTAATGCATTTCTCCAAACATAAAGCTGAAGACTCGTTATGGTTTCAATCAAGGACAAACATTTGTTTCCATAACACCTTCTTCAGGATAAGAGTACATATAATAAAAACAAATATATGCAAATGCACATTAATTAATATATTAATAATTTTGTACAAAATAATATTACAACGTAATTGGAACCACGTATTTCTGAAAGTTAATTTTGTACAGTCTAATTTCAAAATTGATGAAATTAAATAGCCCAATATACAAAACTTATGCAATTCAACCAGTTAACTGCGATTGACAAATATACACGTCATGAAGATGTGGCAGTATTTTTTGAAAACCGTCACCATTTGCTATTTCAATTACAATTATTGAAAAGGGCTCAAAATATTCTGAAATTTCAAGTTTCTCAGATATTAAGGCTAATACAGTCATATATTAGGCTGCATTTGTAATCGCATAAAATCGGATTATTAATATTACATAATCTTATCATAAATCGAATACCAAACTAGTGGGGTGTATGGCATCGTGCTTTAAGGCAAATTGCTGGAACTTCCCGTACCGTAACGAAATGTTCGAGGAATACTGAATGTTTTCAAATAGATTATTATAATATAAATAAATAATGTAACATTGTCTAATATTTATCAGAATTATATAAACTGAATTGCAAAGTTGAAATTATTTGTTTAAAGTATATTAGAACTATAGTCAGAATTAAAAATAAAATCTGAAATATTTTCGATATACAAATTTTTTTTTTTGAAAAAAAAAGTTGAAACGAAAAATTTTTTTCCAAATTCAATTATTTTGTTAAGACAAGCAGAAAGTTCTTTGAATCATTTAAATCGGACGCTTAGTTCTCTCAAAAATAGCCATTTGTTACACATTTAGCTCCGTATCTTCGAAATGGCTGGACCTGCCTTCACCAAAAACTAATAAACACTTCTCCCAATCATTACTAATTGAATGTTTTTAGATCATTCAAATCGGATAATCCGTTCTCTCAAAAAGTCGATTTCTATTTTCTGCACTCTTTGCTCCGTATCCTCGAAACGGCTGGACCTGCCTTTGCCAAAAACTAACCAGCTCTTTTCCCTATCGATAGGAATCGAATGTTTTTTGAACCATTCAAATCGGTTGATCCGTGCGCCGGAAAACGTGACTGGAAATTTGTATCCATACATACATACATACACACACACACACACTCATCCATTCTTTCTGAGGTATGCCAAAATGTTCAGAAACCTTCAAAGCGTCGAGAAATGCAAAAATTTTCAATTTCAATTTTCGGCCCATTACAATATTTTACCCTACGGGAAGTTAAAAATATTAGTTTTTATTATTATTTTAGAACCGTTGTATGTCAATCTGCAAATGCCAAAATTTCGAAGATTTCAATAACGTCATTTACTCAAATGATTCAAGATCAAATGAAACAATCCTTTCAAAACATTACGTAAACTACGTATTCCCATATTGGTACTAAGGATAAAATGAATATTAATTTATAGTGGATAAATTATATTATTAGTGATTCAAAGGAATTTATTTGCCATACACAAATTTGAAAGAAAGAAACAAAATACAGTAAAATCGATCCGTGTCAAAATAATAAAGAAAATACTAAAGGAAATTCGTAAACAAAATACTAAAGAAAATATGCGAGGGAAATACTAAAGGAAATTCGCAAAGCAAATACTAACGAAAAATCGCAAAGGAAGTACTAAAAGAAACTCGCGAAAAAAATACTAAAGGAAATTCGCAAAGAAAATTTAAAAAATAAATACTATTTTTTTTTATTTGCTCCTTTATTCAAAACATTTATTTAACAATTTCCTTTATTTTTTCCCTTTATTTTTCTCATATTAAAACATTATGAATATTGACATAGTATTAAACTGTTGATTCCATCAATTTAATTAATTCAATTGCAGAAAATTTAATAACGTTTTACTCAAATATTTTGAGAATTTATTACTATTGTACGCAACTAAAAACTCAATACAAAGTAACCACAATCCTTTCAAAACATTACGTAAAATGTTTATTATATTTTGGTGGGAACAATAAAGATATAAAACCGTATCAAGAACTTTCAAACTAAAAGTTTTTAAAGAATCATGCAACAAAAATAAGTGTGTGCAATAATGTAAACAACACAATTACGCAAAAATAAATATTTTTATAAATCATTATAAAATAACAGCTAGTACTTACAATAGTATTGTTTTTAATATCCAAAACAAATTTTATTCACAAACACAATTATAACACTTTATAAACCAATTTCACTCCCGAATGAAATAAAGATCACTAAACTCAAAATGTCAATAATAATTTATTTCACAATATCCGAAATCAAAAGTATATACATAAAATATCTATAAAATTAAAAGAAACTTTAATTCACCTGATTTTCACATTAAATAAAATTTTGTCTTACAAATATATACGTTAAATAATTTTTTGAATCGTAAACATCCGCACCGCATCTGCGCACTGCAAGAACCTGCGCGCCATATTGAAATTGCGCAAGTCGTTGAACGCAACTGAGATTCTGTTCCGTAAAAGATGAAGTTGTGCACGCATCACACAATACGCGCGAAAATTCAAATGTAATATAGGTAGGAAACATTAAATTATACACCTTTTGTTTTGGTATAAAATTATGTAGTGCAATGTTCTTTGGAAGTACCTTTTGTCTTCAGATTTACTATCAATAGCTTTTTTAATGTATCTTTGTGGAAAAACATATCAAATAATATTTCAAAGCAATTCTAATGAGAATTGTGCACAACAGTTCAAATAATCTATTTTGTAGGCAAATATTTGTGTTCCATCAACTCAGTTACATAAACAGCAAAAATATAAACTGTTAAATGATATATAATACCCTGATAAATAGAAGATTAACACAAGATGCATGAAATTTAATATCATTCTAGAAAAGTATACCGGGATTGATTAAAACACTGTTGCAACTCGATAGATATCCTCTGTTTTTTGAAATCATATTTCAGTGAACAAAAAAAATAATAAAATATTTAAATTTATATTAAAATTGCGCGTAATAGAAAATATTAGTCCTTTGCTTAATTATCTTTAAAACTGAACTGTTTTTTTTTTGTATATGACACAGCTATGTTTTCTAATTGTTATAGATATATTGTTTTTATTCATTAGATTTATTATTACCCTTTGCTGAATAGTTCATTTCACCACTATAAAATTATCTACATTATTATGTGTGAAAATTATGAATAAACAATAAATAATTGTTTTAAAGTTATTTCAACCTGGTCAAATATTATTTCTTTGGTCCAATAAATTGCATTAAACAAATTTAATTATGAATAAAATTGAACAGTAAATAATTTCAAACCAAAGATGCTTTTAATCACTCTAAATTTTCTAATCAAATTCCGAAATTTTAAAACCGGTTTTCTGGAAAGATTACTATAGTGCAAAAGATAATCCAGAATTACATTAACTTCAGATTTTATCTATTTACAATATAACAAACTATAAAAACCTTTAATTATAATGAAACAGTATTTACATACTGAAAGTATAAATAAAAATAAAAAATTACCCTATATTTCTTATCCACATTAACAATAAATTAAATTATTATAGTATCAAAAATCTAAGTTTACATTCATAAACATCTCATCCTCATCATCAGCCATTAATAATTCATGAGATGTTATCGTTTCATGTTTTACCTGTTCAACATTTTCTTCAATTTTAGCTTTTTTTGCTGCAGAAGTTTCCATTTCAGAATTTACTCTCTTAGTAGGAGGAAAATAACTTTTAAAGCTCTCCTTTTGTTTCTCAACAAACTATAAAAAATTTCAATAATATACTAATTTATATATAAAAACAAAAGGTTGAAAATGAATAAGTATTTAAAAAAATGTACCTTGTTTAAAACCTCTTTAGTATTAGCATCACCATAATCGTCATTGCATAAACCAATTTTCTTTAAAACTCCCTGTTTATTTTGTAGCATAGGCCAAATTATATCATCTGCTGTACCTTGTGCAATTAAATATTGGACTCGAACTTCGCCAACCTGGCCTATACGATGGGCTCTGGCTTCAGCCTGAGCCATAATCTATCAAGCAGTAACTTTATGTTATCGAATAATATAAAAGTCAAAAGCGATAATTAAAATATCACTTACACTAGGCGTCCAATGCAACTCTGCAAATATTACTAGCTGAGCTGCAGTTAATGTTATTCCTGCATTTGCTGACGTTATTGATAAAACTGCTGCTCTGCATGATTGCTTAGTTTGGAAATTCTCCACTAATTTCTTCAATAAAAATATTTTATTACTATAACATTTTTATCTAAACATTACCTACACTTACAGTACGTATTTCAGGCTTTATGTTTCCATCAATTTTAATATGATGAATTTTACAATCATTTAATAAATCACATAAAGATTCTATCATTATTTTATGATGTGCAAATACTAATATTTTTTCATCTTTCTTCTCTTCAATCAATTCTTTTATATAAGCACTAAACAGAAAACCAAAAATTATTTACAGTATATTATAGCATAATTATCAAATTCAAGTTTTAATACTAACCAAACAGCTTTGTATTTATATTTTGCAGTATCTGCAAAATATGTAAGTAAAGCGGCATGTTCATTATCACGTTTTTGCTTTGAAAATTGTTTAGCTAATAAATTTAAATCCTGTTCAACTGTTTCATTAGTAATAATATATTTTGAATCCAATTTTATAACTTCTCTATAAGAAATAAAATAATATTATTATGAATATTTGAAATAAAACAGTAAATTGTATAATTAAAACCTATTAATTTCATTTAGCTCAGGCAAAACTTGTTCTTTTGTTCTTCTGATCATAAATTTTTTATTCAATATCATATTTAATTCAGGTAAATTTGAACATCCTGAACTGTTCCAACCAAAATTTGTTTCCTTGCCATCACAGTATCTTTTACCTAGAATTTTAATTTTAAATTACTCACTTTCCAATCTTTAACAAAATTAATCTATTTTGGTAATTTGTTCTAAACTTACTATATTCTTTAAAGTTGACAAAAAATTTGTCATCCAACATACATAATTGTGTGAAAAGTTCACTTGGTCTTGAAAGAGCTGGAGTTCCAGTTAATAAAATTACACGTTTTGCTGATTTCGCTAAAACAAGTGCTGCATTTGTACATTTTGCTTTAAAATTTTTCAGTGTATGTGATTCATCCTGAATATAAAAAGAAAATTATATCAATTGTATAAAATGTAATTCTAAAAATAAGTGTGTTAATGAAATTAGTAGGTAAATGATTTTTATGTTTACATAAATAATAACTCCAAACCGATTCTTCAAACTATCCATGCATTTTTCCAACAAACTATGTGTAACAATCAATATTTTTGCATCATATATGTAATCTTTTCCTGAAGACATACAAACAATGTTGTGAATTGAAACGGAAGGCAAAAACTCTAAGCATTTTTGGTACCATGTATTCCTGTTGAAAGTAAAATAATATTAAAAACAGATTTATTTTAAAATCATTTGCAGTGACGATAATATTTTAGATAATTAAAAACCTGTATAAATAGAAAATCTTTTTATATTTGTTCACTAATTTAATGGTTATTATACCTTACTGATGCTGTAGTTGCAATTAACAAAGGCCAATCATCTTGATAATAGCTGGCAAGAGTTAACGCCTGAATAGTTTTGCCTAAACCCATTTCATCAGCAATCATACATCTACCATTTTTTTGTACTCCAAACCTGTATCACAAATAATAGAATTAAAATGCTTCTCACTTGATTACTCGCTCACTGTATTATTACCTTACACCTTCCTTTTGGAATGGATATAACTTCTCCCATAAATCTTTTTCAATTTTCGTAGGATCTACTGGAATGGTTTCTTCAGGTTTTTGTTCTAATAACTTTAAATATTCTCATCAAGGAAAATGTAAGCAACTGTTAATTATAAAAATAGTTGGCACTTACAGAAATAATGTTAAAAGGTAGACTTTCCACTGATATGTCCGGTCGTAGAAGATTCATCTTTGTCAGTAAACTTTTATAATCAGCAAATAAAAATGTCCAGCATTTCGTTTTGGGATCTAGAATTAATGTTATGAATTAATAAATTAAATTAAATTACATAATAATTATATGATAATATATTTCACAGACCATATTGTTTCGATTGAATTGATTTAAATGCATCTATAAGCTTGGCATGAAAATTTGAGGTCTTAACCTGAAATCTCGAGTCTGATATCATTGTACATGATGCTATTACTTTATTAAGATTAATTAGAGGTTTTTTATTTTGAATATTATTAAACATTATTTGTAATTGGAAATCATTAGAAAAATTATTAAAACTAATAATTTAACACTAGAGGTACTATTCGCAACTGTCATTCATTTCGAACGTCGTGCCAAGCAAATGTCAAAATGGCAATTTTTTCTTTATGTTTTCGCACAAAATTGAATAACTTAAGCTCGATGATATTGCTAATCAGACAGTCTAATTTTATGTGATAATGTTTAGCATGTTAATTGAGAAACATATTGAATTATATTTAAAGTGACAGCAAAAACGTTTTTATCATGTTATGTCAGTTTTTCGTAACGCTCCATTTAAACTTGAAACATCTGGCAACCCTCAAGTGCCTGACTTCAAGACTGTCGGCGGACCGAAATCATTTTAGTTCTCTAATCAATCCAAAATGGAGTTCGACTTCTGAGTGGTTACGGCAGAAGTTACGTAAGCACACTCCAAAAAATACTATCAGTGCTCATAAAGGATTTAATATTCTCCGTACAGTAGCTTACAGGTGAGATCAATTTAATTCAACTCAACTGGCTATACATTTTATTACAAGATGCACTCCGTAATCAATTCCACTTTGCGAACCCTGAGCAAAACAGAATCGGGTAAAATCGCATCGATTTTATCGAACAGCAGGAGTTATGCTGCCAAAGCAGCAGCCGGTGCCCAAGGCAAAGTTGTTGCCGTTATCGGTGCTGTTGTAGATGTACAATTCGAAGATAGCCTACCTCCCATCCTAAATGCTCTTGAAGTATCCAACAGAAAGCCAAGGCTCGTCCTTGAAGTAGCCCAGCATTTAGGAGAAAATACCGTCCGTACCATTGCTATGGATGGTACTGAGGGTTTGGTACGTGGTCAAGGTGTTGTTGACTGCGGATCACCCATCAGGATCCCCGTGGGAGCTGAGACATTGGGCAGGATCATGAACGTCATCGGAGAACCAATTGACGAACGTGGCCCCATTGTAACTGACAAAAGTGCAGCTATCCACGCTGAAGCCCCAGCTTTCGTTGAAATGAGTGTCGAGCAAGAAATCTTGGCTACTGGAATCAAAGTTGTCGATCTTTTGGCTCCTTATGTAAAAGGAGGAAAGATTGGTCTGTTTGGAGGTGCTGGAGTAGGAAAAACTGTATTGATTATGGAACTGATCAACAACGTAGCCAAGGCTCATGGTGGTTATTCAGTATTCGCTGGAGTTGGTGAACGTACCCGTGAAGGAAATGACTTGTACAATGAAATGATTGAAGGTGGTGTCATTTCCTTGAAAGACAAGACCTCCAAGGTAGCTCTTGTCTACGGACAGATGAATGAACCCCCAGGCGCCCGTGCCCGTGTCGCTTTGACTGGATTAACTGTAGCTGAATACTTCCGTGACCAGGAAGGACAAGACGTACTTCTTTTCATTGACAACATTTTCCGTTTCACTCAAGCCGGTTCTGAAGTATCTGCTCTGTTGGGTCGTATTCCATCCGCTGTAGGTTATCAACCCACTTTGGCCACTGACATGGGTACTATGCAGGAAAGAATTACCACCACCAAAAAGGGTTCAATTACATCAGTACAGGCCATTTATGTGCCAGCTGATGACTTGACAGATCCTGCCCCTGCCACTACATTCGCTCACTTGGACGCCACCACTGTATTGTCCCGTGCCATTGCTGAATTAGGTATCTACCCAGCTGTGGATCCTTTGGATTCTACATCCCGTATTATGGACCCCAACATCATTGGAGCTGAACATTACAACATTGCCCGTGGTGTACAGAAGATCTTACAAGATTACAAATCACTTCAAGATATCATTGCTATCTTAGGTATGGATGAATTGTCTGAAGAAGATAAACTTACCGTAGCCCGTGCCCGCAAGATCCAAAGATTCTTGTCTCAACCTTTCCAAGTTGCTGAAGTATTCACTGGTCATGCTGGAAAACTAGTACCATTAGAAGAAACCATCAAGGGCTTCACCAAGATTCTTGCAGGTGAATACGATCATCTTCCTGAAGTAGCTTTCTATATGGTAGGCCCAATTGAAGAAGTCGTACAGAAGGCTGAAAAATTAGCTAAGGAAGCATCTAATTAAATTTATAAATAAGTGTTTAATCACTGACCATTCAAAATTTTAACCTTTTTTTACATTATATAACCACACTTTATTCATTATAGTTTATATAATTTAAAACAAGTAGAAAATCCACAAACAGCATTGTGATCAGTGATTTTACTAAATAAAAAAATATAAAAAATCATTGTTTTTTTGTTATTTTAATGCTAATTAACAATTTGTTATGCAATAATTTGATTACATAATTTATTTGCAGTTGGACTAATAAAAATTTAATTCAGTGCATATTTTGGTATTTGAAGAAAATTTAGGTCAGATTTTATAGGTTAATTTCATATTTTAATCAATTCATAAATAAGTGAAATGTTTAAATTAAAAAATATTCGTAATAAACTTGTTGCAAAATGCTTAAATTTTTGCAATTTCCACATTTTATTTGGCAAAGCAAAGAATATTTCTGAACTTTTGTGTAATTACATTTTGTTAATAAATAATAAAAAAACGATCAACACATTCTTAAATAATAAAAAGCTGGAGACAAAAATTTAATTTACAAATACATAACTTTAAAGTGCTTATTTAAGTATTCAAACAGTTAGGTACATAATTTCAAAATTTGAGCATGTTTATTTAATTACCTTCAAATTAATATTTAATATAACTAAGAATAAAGATAAGTTTTAAAAATGTAAATATATTAAAAAGTAAAAACATGTTGAACACTAATGAATTTCCGAAATCGAGTACCAGATGGTACTCGAGTTGAGGAAATGCATATTTGATGTTTAATATGTTCATATATATATATATATATATATATATATATATATATATATATATATATGTGTGTGTGTGTGTGTGCGTGTGCAAGGGTTTTAACTTGACCATGGTTTTAACTTGATATCATTTTCAAATTGGCTCAAATGTGTTTAAAAAACATCACATATCACTAATTACCTTTCCCTCCTTTGTTTATTACCACCATTGCTATTTCATTTGATTCTTCACTTTTTTATACACTTTTATACATTTACTTTTCCAAACTTTTGTTTCCATGCTGTCTGATACTATAGTTCGACTTTCAGTTACCTGTTTATTTTCTACTTGTTTCAGTAATCAAACTTCTGCATTATTCTTTTTACCAGTTCTTTCAGCTCTTCTAGTTTACCTTCTTGTAAGAGGCACTCTTTTTGCAGAATGGACCCAGTTTCCTTTCCTTTTCAGAATCGTGCTCAGTAGAATTTTTTCATCTCCAACCCTTTGCAGCACTTAATTTGTAATCTTACCTGTCCACCTTATCTCCTTCAGCATAAAATTTCAGAGCTCTCCAAACTTTTGTTCAGCCTTATTTCTACCTTACTTGTCCAGGTCTCGTGGTTCTGTACAGAGCCATGCTCCAAACTAACCGGAAGCATGGAAGCAAAAGTTTGGAAAAAAGTAATAATAATAATAATATATATATATATATATATATATATATATATATACAAATGTTTTTTTCTGGTTTTCCTGTTAACATGCTGAATGATTATACACATACATAGTGTCGAAACCTATATAATAAATTGTTAGGTATTCATTCTATTTATATTCTTTCGAATATTTGGCTGCAAATAAATATTTTAACCTATTCAAAAATAAATCTTCAAAGAATCCACTTCATCTATTACTAATTTTTATAAAAATCATTCCGATTAGAAATAAAACAAGATATTTTTAATATATTAATATTTAATTAACATCATTTCGTTAAACACATTTTCATAACATATATTATTTTCTTTGAAATGTAAACGTACCTATAACAAAAATAAAATATTTTTAAAAGTAAATTGAAATCTTTTATATTAAGATAAGAATATTTAAAAATTCTCACATATCTAAAATTAAAGAGCACTGGAAATCACATTTTCAATTTCGTCAGTTCATCATACCATTACTTCCATTAAGTAGTTTTTTATTTCTATATTTATAATAGCGTCTATCTATAAACTATATTTACACAGATCTTACTCATCACTTTATTTTAATTATCGTCTCATTGTTCCATTTAAAGAAGTCATTGGACCTATTCCATTGATATAACTATATGTGGGATAAATAGGGTTCATTGGATTTTGCTGAGCAGCCCTTTGTATTGCTGAAGGATCCTGATATTGCCCCTGAGCCATATTCATAACTCCCATTTGGAGCTGTCCAGGATTGTTAATAAACCCGGCAGCTGTGTTGGCAGCAATATATCCAGCAACTCCACCGCTGGATTGTTGCGTAGCCATTCTGTACCCATTTAAGCCTCCATAGGGCGTCATTAGATTAGGATTAATTGGAACATTAGGGCTCATTCTACTTGAAGATGCTTGCATATGTTGTACAGCTACGTTAGCAGGCAAGTTTCGTGAATTTCTTCCTGAATTCTGCTGCATTGGAGGCGTTACTGTTCCCCCGAGTTGATTCATGTTCATATTGCTGCTGTAGTATTTATGATGGTACCCCGAAAGCCCAACTTGTGACTGTATATTCGGAGGTGTTGGTAAGTTTCGTGACGGCTGATTAGCTAACACTTGTCCTGGAGGAGGAGTCATTGCTCCATGTGGATGGTGATTCGGGGGCGGTGTTAAATTCATGGGTACAGGTGGCGGCGTCATCGTATTACAAGGACTGGTCTGGTTCATTTCTAATCCGTTTGCAAGCTGTTGAAGTTTAGCTAAACTGAAACTAGTATTAGCTCCAGTTTGCTCTACAGGATTGCCTTGGGGAGTAGGAGTCGCTGTCGGGGTCGGTGTCTGCGGTGCAGACGGTCCTGGTGTATGTGAATGTGGATGCGTGCCTGATTGAATATAAAAATTTGTAGCAGTGGAAACTGCACATGAAGGCGATGATCCATGCCTTTGATGTGGACTCGGCAGAGGATGCTGAGCTGTGGGAATACTACCTTGATTTGACATCCTATGTTGTATCACAGAACTCATCGGTACCGAAACATATGTACTAGCTCCTTGGCCTTGAAAACCTTGTGAACTGACCGCCATTTGCGGCATGGATATGTAATTACCTTGTGAGATCACAGCGTGCGGGTGGATAGATGTTGCATGGTGCATAGACGCTGTACCTAAATGTCCATAAGTCTGATGGGTGTGTGCAGCCATTGCAGCGTGTTGCAAATGTGCTTGCAACTGATGATGCTGATGCGAACCAACATGTGTATGCTGTTGTTGTTGCTGTTGCTGACTTACCGCACTCTGCTGTTGAGGCGTTGTTTGGATTGGCGGCGTATCCCTATGCCTCGATTGTTGGATACTAGAGTGTTGTATACTCGGCGCTGTCGATCTTATTTTAGGTGTTGTTGACCTGTTAGTATTTCTACTTTGATGCTGCACCTGTTTTCTATTTGAATTACTTCCTTGTTGAATGTGAGTTTGTGATATCGGTGGAATATGAATAGTACTATTCAAATTATGTTGAGGACTGGAAGTTGGAATATTAACTTGACTGTGCTGAATTTGCATTTGATTATGAACGCTTTGTGAACTCTGCATTGAGCAATCACTGTACTGTGTCTGATTTGTATTATGAGGTACTACTGATGGAGGCCTAACCGGTTCAACAGAATTTTGAGATGCCATATCACTGGAGATGCTAGTTGGTGATTCCAATCCTAATTGAACATCTAAATCGCAAGGCCCACCATAGTGAAGACTGTGCACTGAATTGGTAGTAGAATCTGGAGTGTAAACACCCATTGACGGTATATCTGAAGGTGTAGGAGGCGTTTGCTTTATAGAATTGCTAGGTGTGTGAGGTTGAAGACTCTCCACGCTATTATCTAACCTTGGTGTTGTATTACCGCTCCTAGCAACATCTGTTAATTCAACAACATTTTTCTGGTTATTAGCATGATTTTGAATCGAAGTGTGTGTCAAGTTTTGCATTTGGTTTGGTAAATTTTGACCAGTTAAAGTATTCTGCTGCATTTGCTGTTGGGTCAAGTTAGAACATTGAGTATTAGTATTTATGTTTTGTTTAGGCACTTCGTGGATCTTATTTGCCTCTTCTTGTTGAAGCAATTGTTTATTTTTAGATGAAGATTTAGAACTTGAACTTGTACTGTTATTAGTGGTTGATGTATTTGCTTCAATATTGCAATGCCTCGAGTTAGCTTGTTTATTTGTATCTGGTTTAATTTCTGATACCTTTTGCTCTGTTGGCTTCTTGTGATCACTTCGTGATTTATCAGATTTTGTTTCTGTCTTGTAGTTAATTTTTTCTTTCGGATACTGCGGAACTGGAACATTGCTTTGATATATATTAGGGGCAGCTAATGAGGTATATGCAAAGTTTTGAGCTATTTCATTTGTATTGTATTTGTGATGAATCTTTTGTGGTGACTTTTGATTTGGTTCTAAATGCTGAACATTGTAAGCATATTTTGGATCAAAATAAGGGTTTTTATCTGATTTCATATCCAGATACCGGTTCTGTTCCCATTGCAACCTAGCCGGATGGTCCCAGGCAGCCTGCCAGTGATATTGTGGAGCGTGAGAACCAGGATAATTTGTCATTTGATTCAAGGACGCATAATCCGGTTTCGGGAGTTCTTTTTCATATTTGAAATGTGTGAGAGATTTTTGTTCATAATGAGTACGAGATTTTTCATGTTTGCTTGGAGAAATCTTAGGTTCAGTTTTATTACCTTCATGTCGACCACTTTTTTGGGGGCTATGATCTTTTTTATGCTCTGATTTCTTATTTTCTTGACTTGCAGATTTATTATCTTGCCTCTTCTCATGTTTTTCAGGAGACTTTTTATCACACTCATCAAAACTTTTAGCATTTTTTATTAAATCACCTTTCTTCTCTTCTGATTTGCTTGGACTGGGTTCAATTTTGTCATTACAACTTTGTTCAGTCTTCTTTACGGATTGTTCTTGAACCTTCTGACAAGAATGTTGGATTACTACCTGTGATTTTGAAGTAGGTTTTTCAGGCTCTTGAATATTACTGATTTGGCTCTTCTGTTCTGTACTAACAGAAAGTGCATCTGTTTGAGATTTTGTCACATCAATAACTGATCTTTCCTTATCATCTACACTTGTGATAGATTTGTCATTTTCTTGTACAATAACACTGTCACTATTTGGCTTATCGTTTTTTGGATCAACCTCCATTGCAACTGGAATATTTGAATTTTTGATGTCATTATTGCTTTCAGTTTGTTGACTTTCTGATTGAACCACAGTTGCTGTTGACTGCGTCACATTGATGTCTTTATTTTTCTCTTCACCAGTAGGCTGTTCTTGTTTCAGCATGCCTTTATCATCAGTTTTCTCTTTGAATACTTCAAGATCTTTTTCTTCAACTTTTAAAATTTTAATTTTGTGACCATCTATTTCAGTCTCAGACTCAGAATCAGATAATATTGTAGTTTCTATATCTGCACACACATCCTGCTTAGTGGATGTGTGCTTAGTGTTAGGATTTTCTTTACAATCTGCAGTAGATTCTTTAATTTGTGTGACTTGTGGTTCATTTGGTAATGAGTTATTTTCTTGCTGTTTAGGTTCATCCTTTTCCATACCTTTTGTGTCTGAAGTGTTTTGTTTTGTGTCTTGTTGTGGTTCACTATTTGATGCTGTAGATATTTCTTCTTCTTTTCTTAGTTTTGGACTCGGCTCTTCAATTTTTTCAACTTCTTCTGCTGTTATTTCTTCAGACTTTTCTTTAGCTTTATCTGGACAAGTTTCTGAAATTTGTTGAATGGTTTCCGGATTTGATTTATCACTAGGATTTTCATTAACTTCAACTGTATTATTAGTAGGATCCGGTTTAGCATTTGAAGTCGCAGTATCAGAAATACTTTCCGAACTCTTATTTTCAACAATGGTCTGGGGTTCATCCAACTTATTGTCGATAATTTTGTTCTTTGGTGACTTTTCACTTGCAACAAAATCATTTCTTGAAGAAGTAGAAGCTACTGATCGTATTACATCAGACACTACTATTATCTTGTCTTTCTTTGGTGACTTCATATCTTTCTCATCTTCAAACTCATCATCTGCCTCAGCAGAGCTATCCTCACTCTTTGAATTGGACTCTAGATGTATAGTACGATGCCTTGGTTTGGAAATTCTTTCATGCTTCTTCTTAACATGAGATTCTCTTGGTTTCGCATCTGGAGATGCGTCTTTCACAGGTTTTGAACTCTTCTCAATAATACTTTCTTTAACTTCAACATTATCCGTTGCTGTATCTTTCTCAGTATTACTACAAGCAGTTTGTGATTCCTCAGCTGTGGAATCCTTGGTTTTAACAGTCTCTTCTTTTTGTTTAAATATTTCAGGTAAAGTAGTTTGACGTTTACCAGCAGATACTTCAGTTGATAAATGTTTCTTACTTTTTCTACCCCGTTTTCGGCCAACCTTAATTTTCGGCGTCTTTGACTGTTCTTCTTCAAGATCATGAACAGGATTTTGTGGTGAAAGTTTAGGTGCGCTAAAATCTTCGTCCAGTTCTGGATTAAGATCTGCTTCTCTTTTGAGCTCTGGCATTGGAGAATCTGAATTGCTTTCAATCTCAGAATTTAATTTTAAGCGCTTCTCTCTGCGTTCTGACCACCTCTCTCCTCTAGGTCTTGAACTTTTGACAATTGAAGCTTTGCGTATTCTTCTCCTAAACTCTTTCGATACTTCCAATTGATCAGACTGGGTATCTGACTCAAAATCGTAAGTCTTGAGACTTGGTTTTCGTTCGTTCTCTACTTTTTCACACATAGATTTACTTCTGCACGTTCTAAGCATTGGTTTAGTTTCTTCAACTTTGGATTCAGCAGTTAGTTTTGAGTTGCCACTGGAAGCAAAACGTGAACGACGCCTATCGTCAGATTTAACTTTCTTAACAGGTTCAGAATCAATTTTGTTAGATTCTGATAATTTTCTTTTGAGAACTGTTTCATTGGCTTTTGCATCAGATTTCTTGATATCTGCATATGTGGTTTCATCGTATTTACTGGGTCGGATACGTTTACGTCCAGAGGAAGTCAATTCTATCTCCTTTTCTTTCTCATAATCCTTTTCAATTTCAGTTTCTGTTACAGCTTTATCAGAAGCTTCAGCTTCTAACATCTTCTTAGATTTGCGACCGCGTCTACCTTTAACTTTCACTTGTTCTACAGGTTTTTCTTCGACTATTTCTTCAACAGGTTCCTTGATATCTTTTTCATCATCACTATTTTCTTGCGGATTTTTATCACCCGATGTATCCAAATCAGAATCTGATCGAAATGGATTCACAGTGGGTGTAATCAACGGTGTCCATCTTAGGCACTCAGGATCTATGTGTATTCTGGTTTTAGATTTGCTAACACGATCGGCATGTGCGGCAACTTTATCCCAATCAATGTTAGCATATACTTTCACAACTCCGTCTTTAGATCCAATCCTGGAAATAGAACAATGTGATAATTAAATGTATGATTCAAGTGCAAAAAGTATGCGATTATACAGTGGTATACTGACAACTAGGGTATGCAATACCGATGAAAAATTTCAATACCGGTATTTCGGTAATTTTTCATTTTAAAACCGGAATACCGGTAAATTACCGGTATTTTTATTATCTTAAACAAACGTAAACAAAATGGAAAGTTACTAGTACAAGTATAAAAAAATGTACATACAACTACAACTATATTCAACTAAACAATAAAAACAATAAAATAAAGCAATATATTTATTTTTTTAAATAATAATTTAACAAAATTATATCCAATTTAAATAATTCATTATCACTATCGAGTATATTGAGTTTTTTTCACCAAAAACAAATTTATGAGTAAGAAAGACCAAAAACTCAGAAAAGATCATATTACATTATTATAATAAACTGTATTGTCTGTATCCGATGTGTTAAATTAGCATAATCTCCAAAAATAATTTTTCTACACTAATTTAAGATCAGATACTTTGTCGAGATAAATAATAAGTTACTATAATTGTTGAGTATTGTTAATTAAAACAATGTGATGCTTCTATAACATTTTCGAACTTCGAAACGTTTTCGAAAAATAATATTTTATAATTGTAATAAAAAGCAAGAATATTTAGTAATTATCATAATTATTGTGTATAAAGTTAAAAAAAAATAAAGATTACGCAGGGGTAAACTGTATGATATAAAATATTTTGGCGCAAATATCACTTAAAAAACTGTTACATTTATACATAAGATGAAACAAACATCGTTATCTATCAGTCCAATTCTATTTATTGTAACACAACATGAAGCCCTTTGAGAAGCAATAAATATTCAGATTAATGACGATCTAAGATAATATTTGACATTTGTTTATCCTATAGAATCACTTGAAGATATAGCTGTTTATGCGATTATGGAATTTGAAGATAAATTTGTTCCGAGAAATTTAAACTTTAATGTATTATGTATCAAATAGCGCTTATGTAAAAATACCGAAAATGCCGGTATTTTTGGAGTAAATACCGGTAAAAATACCGCCGGTATACCGGTAAACCGGTATTGTATTCCCTACTGACAACTGTAGTTCTATAAAAACAAACCTGACAAAACCAAGTAGCTGTAAAGCTAAAGCCACATCGGGGCTGTACATTCCAGTTTCTTTGCATATTGCACCGACAGAAAGTTGTTCATCCCTATGCACATTCAAATATTCTAAAATTACACTTTTCCAATAAGCATAGTATGAAACTCTTCCCAAATCAGATAATGGTTTTTCAGGAGTACCAGGTTGGCCTTCTTCCTTGGATAATAAATAACCTGAAAATTAGAATGATTTATTATAAAATGTATCAAATATGCATCTAGGCAGTCATAAGTAAAATACTTACTAAAATGAATTAAAAATCGACCAAAACCTTGCCTCTGATACTGAGGCATTGTCATAATACAAGAAACATTATATTTTTGCTGACAATGTTTCTCTTTACTAAAATATCCTACAAGGTGATAGCCTTTCTTGTCATATTTTGTGAGGACATAAAACAAGAATGGTTCTACATCATAATACAATGTCTTGTGGTCCAAAAATAACTTTGCTAGTAGACATAAATTTTGACAATATATCTTATTTACATTGCCATCCACTTCAAATACTGATATTTCATTGCATCTGTATATTTCTGTCCCTGGTGGGTTTCGCCAAGCACATTTGTCCTGATGACGTTCCAGAACAGCCTTACTTTTTGTGTACTTAAGACAAAATTCGCAGAGAAATAATTTGGGCAATCTGTAAATAAAATGAAATCATAAAAAAAAATCAAACTAGCTGTAAGTGGAATTCTGTCTTAAGGCAATTAGGGCATCGTGCCTTAAGGCAAATTGCTGGAACTTCCCGTACCAAAAATTATTATTTTTTTTAAAAACGATTAACATTTTTGAAAAAAATTACTTCGAAAAAATAAGATTTTTGAGAAACTATAAATTTGACAAAAAATTACTTTTTTTTTGAAAATTAAATTGAAAGAAAAAATATTTAAAAATTTTTTTTTTTAAATCTTTTTTTTTGAAAAAAAAATGTTTTCTTTATTTTGACATATGTTGGAAGATCTGAACTTTTTTTCAAAGCAATCGTACTGCTTTAAATGCATAGAGACAAAATATAAAGCGCGTAAGCGCCGCGTCGCTGTCTAACGGGTAAACATTGGTACGGAACCCATAGAAATGTAAACAAAATTTATAGTTATTGTTAAAATCTCTATAAAATATCTGATAATTTGATGTGCATATGTCTATTGATCATTTTTGACCGCCAAATGGCATTTTTTTTTTACTTTTTTCGTTATATCTCCGAAACCGCTAAACCTGCCCTTATAAAAATTTGATCAAATCTTCATCTTGTCAATACAAGTAAAATGTTTTTTGAATTATTAAAATCGGACGCTCCGTTCTATTAAAAACTGAGGTACCGTTTTTGGCACTTTTTGCCCCATATCTTCGGAACGGCTAGACCTACCTCCGCCAAAAACTAATCAGCACGCCTCCCTATCAATACGGATCGAATGTATTTTAAATTATTCAAATTGCTTCATCCGTGTTCCCGAAATCGTCGACGAAAATTTGTATCCGCACACACATACATACTACGCACACACACACACACACACACACACATACATCCATTTTTTCTAAGGTATGCCAAAATATTCAGAAACCTCTGAACGGTAAAGATATATAAAAATTTTCATTTTCGATTTTTTTGCGATTACTATAACTTACCCTACGGGAAGTTAATAAGATTGTTACATTTCAAAATTGTAAACTAAATTAGTTATAAGGCATTATTCTATACCTGGCATATTCTTGTGGAAAAGGACTGGAGTACCAAGTTTCAATTTCATATTGTCCAAATTCAATAGCTGCTGGGCATCTTTGTTGAGCAATAATAGCTGCTGATGGAGGACTTAAGACACCTAGCTGTGCATTACCACCAAGAGGTGTTGAGACGAGCAAATTTTGTGGGATCAACGATTGAGTGTTTCCTAACAAAGCCCTTTCGCGTGTTTCTTTGAAAAGATCGATATCTTTCTGGGTTACACCTGGAGGCATTGGTGGTGCATTATCTGCAATTTGGTAAATAACAGTTAAGAATATGAGATGGTAGAATTAAAATATATGATTACGAATACATGATGAAATGTACAGCAGGAAGTCAAATGAAAGCTTTTTTAAAACTATAACGTAAGTAATTAAAAATGACTATTATAATTTGAATTATTAAGTTATTAAGGGCGTATTTTGGTCCAGTATTTTTTCAAAATCGATTTTGATTTTTTCGCATATTTTCAAAGTTTAAGTTTTCAAGAGGATTATTCAAAATTTGAATTATTTTCGGTAATATAGCCCTTTAACCATGACAATCCTCTCTGTTTTCTCCAAAACTTTAAACGCGCTTTTCTCAAAACTTCGTCTTTTTCGATACTATACCCACGATTTTTTAACTTCTAATGCACCGGTTTAATTCAAATTTTTACAGTTTTATTTATAAACTTCTCTTTAGTATCTGAACTTCTCATCCCCAAATTCAATGATTACTATTTAAAAAAAAACAAGAATTTAAAAAAAATGGATTTTGTTCATTAGACAGTCGCTATTTTGCAAAAACAAAAAAAAAATTTTAACTTGTCCGAAGTTCATACAATTGTGATTAATAACAAAAACTTTATGACTACATATTATTAATTTTCATTAATTTATGTTCTCAAAATATTAATTAATAACTTATAAAAAAAACAGTAAAAATATTGTTTTACGGCCTTTAAAAAATTGCATAAAATTCATCCCTCTAGACCGCCTTAAGCAAATTTTAAAAAACAAAAAAAATGTTATCACAAAATTGTTATAAATTAAATAATTCTCAAAACATTAATTATTAGCTTGTAAAAAAAATACAGTAAAAATATTGTCTTACGGACTTTAAAAAATCGTACAAAATTCATCCCTCTAGACCAGAATACCCCCTTAAGCAATTGTTTGAAAAACAAAAAAAATGTTATTACAAAATTGTTATAAATTAAATTAATACATATCATTACATATAATTTTCCATAGATAATGTTTTGTGATTAGCATTGTGGATTAGTATATATATTCTTTTAAATAAAATATAAAAAGTTTATCTGTACATTGTTTTTAAAATGATAAAAAAGCAGGGAAGTGGTGTGTGGTCCACATTGACGTAGCTCCCTATTTCATGCAATATATGATTGAACAAATTTACATTTCACAAATATATTTAATCTACAAATCACCAGTATTTAGTCAGACCAATATCTTCTACACATTACTTTTTAAGCAATTTTTATATTATTATTATCATCTTAAAACAAAGTAACAACAACTATACAAACAATCAGTCCAATAATTATTTTGAAATAATGTATAGTATTATGTAAACAGGTTCTAGCAATCAGACAGATAAATAATCTGTAAAATGGAAAACAACATGGACAGCCGCTCATACAAAAAATGCACATTTTGATGAATGGAATTGAAAAAGTTTTCCCTGTCTTTTCCATTTGATTTCTGTACCACACACCACCACATAACATGCTAGGATTGAGAGAGAGCGAGAGGATGATTTTTGGTTTAGGAAGTTACTGAAAGTTATAATAAAATTTAGTTTAAAAAACTATTGAACATACAGTAAAATATAAAATTGAATTCTATATAAATAGATTATTTAAATTCATAATACAGTAATTTCTTAAAAATAAATAATTGCATATAAATTGATAAAACAACTATATTATTATGTGCAGACGAGTAAATCACTTCGAACCCTTATTGATAATAGGATTTTGGTAACTCCTAATTATGAATCTAGTTATTGGTATTTACTTTACTTGACTTAACAATTTCTAAATTCAATCTTATATTTTCCATATGAAATAGATTTTTAAGGTTACAGTAACATTAGGAAAATGGTGTAATATTAGAGATTAAAGGATCAGGAATGCGTAGTGTTATGAGAAAAGCGAGTGTATTCTACATAAAAAAAAATTAATGCTTAAATTTAGGAAATCATTAGATATTTAGGGATCTATTTTTACAAACAACCTCAGTTTGATTTTTATTAAAGCGATGTATACATTGTGTTTGAACTAATAATCTATTTAAGTAGAAATTATAAGTCAAAAATAATATCTTCATGATAACGTAAAAATATCAATACAATATATATATAATGTAGTAATACCCTGACATACGAGTGTTTGAGATATGAGCCGCCAAAGGAGTGTTTGGTTGCTTCGACAAACGAGCAGAATTCGAGAGCTTTTATGAGTTTTGAACAAATAAGAGTTGTTTCAAAAAATATTAATGACAAAATGAAAATATAAAATATTCGTCAGGTGTAACAATGATTTTTCTACCATAGAAATATTTTGGCTTTTCTATGATTGTAAATTATTTTATGATAAGTCATTTCAATTATTAACTTCCCGTATGGTAAACTATAGTAATCGAAAAAAAAATCGAAAATGAAATTTTTTATATAAATTTACGTTTCAAAGGTTTTTGAACATTTTGGCATACCTTAGAAAAAATGGATGTATATGTATGTGTGCCATTTGGCGGTCAAAAATGATCATTAGACATATACGCATCAAATTATCAGATATTTTATGGGGATTTTAATAATATGTATAATTTTGTTTACATTTCTATGGGTTCCGATTGCTTTGGAAATAAGTTCAAAATTTCCAAAATATTTCAAAATAAAAAAAAAATTGAAGTCTTTTTCCATAAAAGTCGATTTTTTTCAAAAATTTTAAATTTCTCAAAAATCTAATTTTTTCAAAGTATAAAAAAAAATTTATTCTTTTCTGAAAAATTTAAGTTTTGGTACGGGAAGTTCCAGCAATTTGCCTTAAGGCACGATGCCATGCACCACTAGTTTATTTTTATAACCATGAGTCCGAAGTAAAGGGCCGTGTCTCTTGAATTATATAATGAAATTGTTGAAAAATATGAGGATGTACGAGTGTAATACATCATATATATGTGATGTGATTAAAAAAGAGTTTTTAAAGGATATAACTCATGCTAAGAGCATCACAATAATTCATAAGCAACTTTCTAAGCTCTAAAAGTTTGTAGATAAAAACCCCTCCAAAGCCAGAAAAAAATAATAATTAAATTAGTAAATGGTGAAATTAATTTTAATATTTAAAAATATAATAAAAATCGCAGCGCTGGGACGTAATAGCATTTCAATGTATTTATACGAAAAAAAAAATGTTTCGAGACACGAGCGATTCGACATAAAAACGTGGTTACGGCACGAATTAAACTCGTAAGTCGGGGCACTACTGTATATATGTACGATTTCCACTTTCTGAATTTCCATATATCACAGACGATTAAAATCAATCACAACGTATGAACGTAATAGCAATGTAAAACATATAAATGTGTTTAGTATGTTTGCAAAAATAGAAGGAAAGATGAACCAATAACTGAGACTATCATTATAAAGATAAATGTGAGTACAACCATTGCGATTTTATTCCTTGGAGGATTATATAAAATATTTAAATATTTATCATTTACATAGCAAGTAAAAAATGTAATCAAATTTATCAATGATAATCTAAAATGTTGGTTCGTAGTACGGAAATAGGGGATCTTAAGATAGCAGTATATTTTGTGGTTGGGTTCGTAACCTGATCTTACCCGTCTGATTGCTGAACGGCTGCGAAAACCGCAACGAGAATTTTTTTTGATTTGCTTCTGTGTTAAATTGACACTTATTATTCGATCTTAAGTCATCTACATCAGTATTGAAATTATTAAAACCTATTCCAAAACTAATATTTTGAAAACTAATGTTGCTTAGAGAACTAGAAGTCATGCCACCAAAATTCAAATCTGATTTGATTAACGATCTATGGTCATGTTCATGCTGTTTTGAGTTTACTGCTGTCTTCACCAAATAAGACGGGCTCATATAAGAATTGTTTGAAGGCTTATCTAAAATATTATCATTAAGTTTGGTTATTGTGGATGATATATTTTTAAAAACGCTGTTCTTTTCTTTGTTAGCTATAGAATTATCAACAACTGCATTTGATGTTTCCCCATATCTTCTTAAAACTGTGGATAATGAGGAATTACATGATGATTCAAAACTATTCAATTCAGATGTTTTGACATCGGGCAATCTTTTCGAATCGTTAGCAGAAGTTTGCTTTTCAACCAATTTTGTAAATGCATAGTTTTTATAAGTGCTTCGGGTTTCTTTCAAAATTTCCTTAGGCTCTGTTATGTTTGAACATGCATCAATAGTTTTTCGTCGCCGTTTTTCGGAATAGTCTGGAGATTGACCTTTTCTAGACCTAGAAAGTTTTGGTGTTGTAAAAAGATGTGATAAGCCATCGAAAAGACCTCTTAGCTGTCCAGCTCCAGGCTTGCATTTTTCCAAATTTGTGTTTTGATTTGAAATAGATGACTGTTTTTCAAATAATGACTGACTTTTACTAGTTATCGCAGTTTCTGGAAATGTGCCAAAGGTTCTTTCATAATTATTTGAAATGAATACGCTGGCGTGCCGTTTTGCTTCAGCAGCGAATCCCCACAATGACTCCTTCTTTTCACTAACTTGATTACTAAATGCACCAAATAATCCGCTATTACTATATATACTTTTATTCTTACCTACATTATTATTATCAAACGTACTAAATACGTTGGAGTTTTTGATTTGTACATTAACGTTACTTTTCATTTGTGACATTTCATTCACTTTAGAATTAATTGGATCTGCTTTATGGCTCAAACTATCACTATCTGAATCATCAGATGAACTTGTACTATTGCTTCTAGACTCTGAGCTAGAAGAAGATGAACATTCGGAACTATCTGAACTACCAGAAGCAAAAGAACTACTGTCAGAACTTGATTCCATATTGGTCATGTTCATTTTTGAACTCTTTTTATGCTTCTCCAAAGTAGTTTTAATACTTTTGCTCTCTGTCCGCCTGGGTTTATTGCTTTTTTGATAGCTATCGATATTTACTTTATTCGTGAACGTTTCTTGCTTCACTATCACTTTGTTATCTTTACAAACTATATGCCTTATGTTACTTTTGATGATTTTACTATGTGATGTTATAGTTTCATCATCAGAACTATCACTGGTATCACTGAGATGTAGGTCTTGACTCAATATTCTACATTCAGTTTTAGATCTTTTATCACTGGAACTAGTTGTTTTCGTTAGATTCCTATCCGCCGGGGATAGGGTGTTCATATGATCTACATTTGAACCTATACTGTTTAACTTAGCTAAATCCCTCATCCTAACTCCTGAACTATGGCTACCACCTAACCTATCATCTAAATCTGATCTGGCCCTATCGCTACTCTTAGATTTACTTCGTCTTTTTCCCGAACTAAGCGCGCACAACCTAAAAAATTTTTGTTTTTCTTTAGACAAGACTTGGTCTGACTTTTGCAATTGTGAATGACAAGCATCTGCAGAGTTGTATTCTGAATTGCTATTGTACTGGTGATCTGATTCGCCCCTCAAATGAATGTTGCTCGGAATCCGAGGCACCCTAGGTATATTACTTTCACAAACTGATGTATCGTTCTCGGGCTCACTGGACACGATCTTATTGGCGCCGCTGGTGGGAGTAGAAAACCGACCCTTGCGCGAACCTTTCGGGGTCGAGTTTATATCTCGACCTTGCCTGGAAATAGAATCCACCAATAAATTGATTATATTTTTTAATAAAAAAATTATACATTTATTTAAAAATATAAGGAGCCACTTCGCTCGTTAATTCAATTGCATAGTTCAAATTAAAATTATGCATTTTAAATATACCCAGAAATCAACGTCAAGTCGACACGGGGCAACAATTCATAGTTTAAATAAAAAGTCTCAATTCTTGGAAACCTGTGGTAATTGTATCATTCTTTAAGACTATGGTCCTAGAATTGTTATTAACGGTTAAGAATCCAAAGTTTAAACTAGTTGGTATTAGTATTTTGCCTTAAGGCAAGTTACATGAACTTCCCGACATGTGTAAATAATCGACTTAATCAATAAAATATAAATTAATTTATGAGTGGTATTCGAAGTTGATTTATTACACATTGAAAATCGAACAAGTCAACCCGGTCGGAGTATTGTTTGAAAGCAAATTTTCAAAAATCAATAATTTTTACAATTAAGCCAAGATTTTGTGGGACTTTAATAGTTTAGTATGTTCATTAAGACCAAGTACTTTATCTACTTCATTTTAAGTATTTTAACAAACGTCAAAAAAACTACTAATTTTCTCAAACTTTGATGAATTTTTAAATTTCAGTAAGTTCTGTAAGACCATGATATCAAAAATAGTTCCATAAAAATGGGCTTAAATTTTTTTACAGCAGTTAATTACGAGAAAACGGCTCAGTAAATTTTCATCTAAAACTAATCAGTATCATTCCCAACTAATATCTTTCGAACAGTTTTTTGAATTTTCAAAATCGATTCAGAATTGCGGGTTAAAACGTGGACCACTTTTCGGCGATTTACAAAGAAACGGCTCGGCCGATCGTCGCACAAAACTGACAAACAATCAAGGTCCATCAAATGGCTTTTAAATTTTTGAAATCGGTCTAGCCGTTTTTGAAAAAATGTCGATTTACGGCAAAAAATCTGTTCACATACACACACACACATACTTTTTCCAAATTTGATCTCATTCGATTCAGGATGGCTTGAAACGTCGTGGAAACATAAAATTAGCGAATCGAATTTTTTGATGAAAACATAAACTCCCCTTTAGAAAGTTAATTAATCAAGATTAATCACAATAACCGAAACATGATCACAGTTTCATCAAAGCTCAAAGTTACATTTAAAAACTTTGAGTTTTCGAACTACTACTACTTAATTTTTTCATGATTGTTTAATACTATCGTCTCGTTTCGGCTTGATTTTGAGTTCTGGGACACCCTGCATATTCAAAAATTTTGAGATATTACTAAAACCAGCCTCCAAAAAGAAACTATTATCACAAACTAATAATTTTGAATCAAAATTATTAGTTTGTGATAATAATCAGTTTCTTTTTGGAGCCTGGTTGTAGCAATATTTCAAAGTAAGATATGTATATGTAGCAAAAAAAATAATAGCCATAAGTAGCTTCTTACTGAGCTTAACCATTGGTTCACATTTAATTCAGTTTAAATCTGCATCTTTTTACCTTATTGCACGTGAATCCATTTTATCACGACATTTCGTTCCTTTCCTCCGACTACTACTTAGTCCCAATACAGGCGTCGATGTCTGACTCCGTTTCGGAGTTTCATGGTGGGAAAGGCAATGGCGGCACCTGTATTAAATTGAAATAGATACTTATATTCTCTAATTCTATTATTTACATTACTTCAATTATCTGTCCAATAAATTACCTCCAGGGGCATTTCGGTTTTTTCTCGGCAGGCGGATCCAAGCATGCTATGTGGAAGTTCCGTTCGCAAGAGCAACATCCAAGAAGGCACGGAGAGACATCAGTTTCTGAACATGCTGCGCATTGCGAGCAATCTTCACAGAACCACTTGCCACCCTAGTAAAAGAATTATAGTTAAACTCTTATTTCCTGGTACTTATTTTGTGAAAATGGTGCCAATTCATTAGTATATACAGTAGAATCCGATTAGTATGACACCGGATATATTGACAACCGCTTATTATGACGTAATCGCACTAGGAAGTTTGGTTTCCATACAAAATTCTTTAAAAAAACAGCTGTCTAGTCGGATATATTGACATCGCTTACATTGACATGTCGCTTATAATGACCCATTTTTGCAAAAAATTATGTCCAATTATAATGACCGGCATGATTTTACATGATGTGGCCAAGTCTACGAAAGCAATTGCTATGTCTTTTATGCACAATAGCACTAGGAATTGTTTTTACCATAAAATTATGTAAAGAAGTCAATCAAAAATTACTGATTACTTACATTAAAAAATCACATTTGTATGTTTATGGATAGGGTAGACCAATTATTAATGGTCCACCACGGATATCTCGTGAACAAACAAAATTAGATTTTTTTCAACAAAAATATTTGATAGTACAAGGCAAAAATGTATAAATTCATAACCAGCCATCACTTTTATTCTTATGACTTTGCTATCAGAAGATAAGCAGCACATGAGGGGATAAAAAGGACCAGCAGAACCTTTACTTTGGCAAAGGTGTAAGCAATGAAATAGTAAAGTTTAAAAAAAAGCAATTTTACAAGAAATTAATTAAATAAATTGTTATTCCGGCTCGTCTGATGAATATTTCTGACCAATAGCAGATCAATGTAATATACTGTGTTATCTTTGTAACAAATGTACCCACAGAATTAATATTTTTAATAGAAGAAATTGCATTTGTTTTCTCCCTGGTTGTCCCACTTTACCCCGTATGTGAGGTAAAATGGATCAGATACCAAATTTAAAAAAAATAGTAAAAAAAAAATAATATTTATATAATTAGGAATTATGTGAAATTTTTTCTGTACATAGTTCGATAGATGCTTGCTTGATGTGTGTCATGTGTTGCAAGGTTGTTCATTGGGTTTAAACAGTATAATTACTGAAAGTCAAATTGGACCTTAGTGCCCCGCCCTACCCTATGTCAATTTTAATTTATATTAAATTTTAATACGTGTCATTTTTATTTTTAATTAAAATATATGTATAGGCTTTTCTTTTAAATTACTGAAACATGTAACATATTTAAATATTAAAAAGTTTTTCTTCAGTATGCTTTATATGACAACCGGTTAGTATGACGAAATTTCGGCGTCCCTTCGATGTCATACTAAGCGGATTCTACTGTATATTTAAATATTTGTGTCTATCTACCTTTTCGAGAAGACTAGATAGTTCAGATCCTTTCCACGCACAGGACAGATGGACTGAAGCAGAACACCCAGAGCAGCGGCTGAGGGCTTCAGGGACTCCTTTAGGATTCTTCGCCTCTGTGCCGAGACACTGCGAGCAGATCGACGCTGCAACTGTAGGTGTCGCTTGCAAAGCCTACAAAAAATAAAAACAAAATAAATAAAATGCATTTTTCAATACACAAAAAAACCTAATTATAAAGAGCCCAAATTTCAAAAAAAATTAAAAAATTACAGTTATAGAACATTCACAATAAACGAGGAAAAATCCTAAAGCTAAGCAAGATGACATCGATATCATCTACGCTGTTATTACTTTTTTTTTAATAAATACATACGAAAATGACCGAATTAAATTATATATTAATTATATTCTAAGGTATATAATCACCAACTATGTGAAAACAATAATTTGAATCCAAAATAACCTTTATTGGTACTAAATTTAAAACAGCATTCTTGCATTACAAAAGGCCAGGTGCACGGTGCTTGTATGAATGATACGAGTATAATGCAACGCGGCTCAAAAACACCAGATGTCGATAGACGAGTATAAAACGATCTACCAATTTATTTTAAAGATCGACCAATGAAAATAATATTATAAATTATAAAATACGGAATCTTTAAGAACTTCATATATATGCACGATATGCCACAATACAGGAGAACATTAAACTATAAGCTTAAGTAGGGAATGCAATACCGGTATACCGGTAAACCGCCCGATTTTTCGGCGGTATTTTTTCCAGTTTTTATTCCAAAAATACCGGTATTTTCGGTATTTTTACATAAGCGCTATTTGATACATAATACCCTAAAGTTTAAATTTCTCGGAACAAATCTATCTTTAAATTCCAGAATCGCATAAACAGCTGTATCTTCAAGTGATTCTATAAGATAAACAAATGTCAAATATTATTTCAACTCGTCATTAAACTGAATATTTATTGCTTTCCAAAGGGCTTCATATCGTGTTACAATAAATATAATTGGACTGATAGATAATGATGTTTGTTTCATCTTTTGTAAAAATGTAACGGTTTTTTAAGTGATATTTGCGCCAAAATATTTTATATCATACAGATTACCTCTGCGTAATCTTTATTTTTTTCTAACTTTATACATAATAATTATGATAATTACTAACTAAATATTTTTTGCTTCTTATTACAATTATAAAATATTTTTCGAAAACGTTTCGAAGTTTGAACATACTATAGAAGCATCACATTGTTTTAAATAACAATACTCAACAATTATAGTAGCTTATTATTTATCTCGACAAAAAATCCGATCTTAAATTAGTGTAGAAAAATTATTTTTTTAAAATATTGGAGATTATGCTAATTTAACACATCGGATACAGTTTATTATAATAATGTAATATGATATTTTATGAGTTTTTGGTCTTTCTTACTCATAAGTTTGTTTTTGGTGAAAAGTACTCAATATACTCAATAGTGATAATGAACTAATATAATTTTGTTAAAATAAACTTATTGTTTTATTTTATTGTTTTTATTGTTTAGTTAAATATAGTTGTAGTTGTATATACATTTTTTTATATTTGTACTAGTAACTTTCAATTTTGTTTACGTTTGTTTAAGATAATAAAAATACCGGTAATTTACCGGTATTCCGGTTTTAAAATGAAAAATTACCGAAATACCGGTATTGAAATTTTCCATCGGTATTGCATTTCCTAAGCTTAAGTATATAACTGTAACCTTTCTTATGGAAACAAAAATTCAATGAAGTATCGCAAAAGTGTATTAACTGCCCTGTGATGCAGTAATATCTCTGCCGGAATAAAAAAAATACTAATAAAAAAAATTTAAATTGCATCAAATTTAAATAACAATATGATATGGAACTAATATTTCGGTAGAGACATAGATATCATACAAAGACCGGCTTTTAAAAAAAAATAAGTTCCGACTCTATATTTTTTATCGTAAGAACATATTTAATGAAGGGGAAGAGAACAAAAAAAATACACAAAAAGGGTCTTTTAGTGTCTGGAGTAGAGGAAGTAGAACAACTCGTGTGTGAAGATCAAGCATTTCGATTAGCATTCTGCTCAATAAACGCAACTCCCCGGCCTGGCCTCTCTCAGCAAATGAACATACAAAGCAAAAACCCATAATAATAAGCGAGTTAATAAAGGAATAATAAATATTCACAAACTACACACTGCATGTGTCGGTGGTCACCGTAAGAAATTCTTATTTTAATAAACTCTTGTTGATTTTCTTTTCCAACGCCATGCATATATTACTGCCATCGTCGTCGTCTACTTATAAATAGTCTCAAGTCAGGCTTCTGACACGTATTAAATAATTTTACGACCTTTTGCACAGTTATTAAAAATAATTGCAAGCCGGCTGCCTGAATGGTATAAAATGTAATAATTTACGCTTATAATAATGCATATTTATAAACTCAAATCGATTGAAAATGGACATCACGCATTCGAAAATTAAAAAAAATAGATGTTGCATCTGCAATTTTATTTTAACAAATTCCATGCATTTATATTGAATTTATGTAAATATTAGTTTTGGTAGTGTCAGAAGTCTATCACAGCACGTTATTCTAACAACTCATTAGTGTTGCATGGCATCGTGTCTTAAGACAAATTGCAGAAACTCTCCGTAATTTAAAATTAAAAAATATTAGATTTATTTGGTAACTGAAAATTTTGAATTTCTTCTAACATTTTCGAAATTTCGTTAAACATTTGAGAAATTTGAAAAAATCGACTATTTAATATATTTTTGGTGAAAAATTAGTCAGAACGTCAATAGGAATCGAATGTTTTTTTTTTAAGCATTCAAAAGGGATGATCTGCGCTCTCGAAATCGTAGAAGAAAATTGTATATATATATATATATATATATATATATATATAAGTTTGATTATTTCTTTTCCGAACAGTAATTCCAATAATAAAAAACAATTTGTTTTTGAAGATGTTTAATAACGACGTTTCGGAACTAGATACGTTCCATCATCAGGTTTATTCTGTCAAAGACAATGTTTTTTAAAACTATTGATTAACATTAATGAATGATGGTCATTACAGATTATTTAAAAAAAAATATAAAGGAGTGGATTATGTACCAGTGTAAAGAGTAATAAAAATTAACTAAAAAAGGTTTTATATAAAATTGAGAAGCAAAAATTATTTACCTGTAATAATTTATATATCCATATCACTAATATTTTTTGTTAAAAACACTCGATTTTTTCGAGGAAATTTCTAAATGTTGCGACTTCACAAGACTAACACACTGATATGGAGTTCTGTCGGCCAGATGTAAGGGATTTTTTTTTTTTTATTCCTTTATTATTTTACAACAATCAGAACAGTACTTATATTCTATGAGCTGCATTGCTTATATATATATATATATATATATATATATATATATATATATATAAACTAAAAAGAATAAACTAAATAAGAATAAATAAAAATAATAACAAAAATAGTAACTAATAATAATAGTAATATATAATAATAGTAAACAATAAAATAATATAATAATACCACAAAAAAAAAATTAAATTAACTTAACTAACATATTTCGATGATTACTCTAAAAAATATAGAAATTGTTCCATTAAACAATTTGCTAGATTAGGATATTATCCATTGGTGATTTACGCTTGAGCCTCCTGGAATGTGGCATCTCAAGCAGTTGTGCAACTATTTTATTTGGATGGGCTTCTAGTTTTTGAAAGTGGTGGACACTGAAGTTTCTTATTACTTCCTCGATATATAAAATATTCAGATCGTCATGTATGGTCTTGTTACTGACGAACCACGGGGCATCAACTATCTGTCTGAGTATGTAAGGGATATGTACGGAATTTAGGCAAAAATAATTTTTTATGGCTCTTGTATTGGTAATTTACGAAAAAAGAGGAAGTATTGCTTTAGCAAATGCTGAGAAAAATTATGTATATATACATGCACATACTATGCACACCTACATACATATGCATGTATCCATATAATCATGTACATACAATCATATACACGAACATATACGCAAGTACGTGTATATAGTGTATATACAAAAACATACATATAAGCACATATATGGATGTGCATATAATACTACATATATACATGTATATATACACACAAAATTATTAAAGGATTAATCGTTTTTAATTAGGTTTAAAAAATTTAGATACGAATCATGAATGATATTATGATCTGATCTTTTATTAACACAATTTGACGAATTCAAAAAGTTTAAACTGCTTTCAGAAAAAAGTTTTTTAAAAGCACAATCTTCTCTATATAAAATTTACTTCGTCCTACGAAAAGTTAGTTTAGTTTTTGTTTCATTTCTTGCTTATTTTGATAGGAACTCCTTCAACTCAAACAAGTAATTTCGTTTTTTTTTATTATATCCTTATATGAACTACTTAATTCAGCAAAAACAATTTATATCCTGTCTTTTGTGTCCATTGGTTTCCATATAACGCGGCACAAATGTTATTTTGTACCTTATGGTGATGTTTTCATACTAATTCCTTATAGTGATGCTCCCATATAACGCCAGTTTCCATAGTACGCGCGACTAATAAGCTTAGCTTGTACATTAAATCAGAGTTCCTTATAGCGCGATTTCCGATATACACGATATGCACTCTAAAAGACTGTCTGCATAATATATTAAAAGTTTAGTAACAAAAATAAAATATCTAGTATGTTAAAGAAGATCGTACATTAAAGTAATCTTCAACCTCACAGCTCCAGCTGATTTTGACCAACATTTCCTAAAATCCCTAAACTTTCGCTTTCGAAGTACCTTCGTGTATTTTTGAGATTTTTCTCGAATATGCCATAAATGGACCCATTGAAAGGCGTGGTCTGGACTCTATATTCTATCGCCACCGGGGTGAAGGCGGAGTTCCGCCATTAGACATACATTTTCGGGGATGGCACGAGCACGGCACGATTGGCGAAAGGACCCATAAACCCAAAGTGGAAAAAGATTTATACAACACTTGTTGATATAGGAACCGAAATTTTGTTTTGTTTTTGCTTTCGAGCACGGGGTTATATAAAGCAAAACTAAAAATACGAAGATAACGAAAATGACTTAAAAAGTA